AATTAGAGCGCAGCTCTTGAGGAGGAGGAGGGAAGGGCGCTGGGGGGGGGGGGGTAGACTAACCAGGGGGGGGTCACGTGACCTTGGGGGTCACGTGACCACCAATGCCGATGATGTCATCACTGACGTCACTGATTATGTCATCACTGACGATGACGATGCGGGTACCAATGACGTCATTAGTGACGTCACTGATGACTTCACCAGTGATGATGACGATGACGATGCGAATGTCGGTGACGTCATCAGTGACGTTGCTGACGACGTCATCAGTGATGATGACGATGACGATGCGGATGCCGGTGACGACATCAGTGACGTCACTGATGACGTCATCAGTGACGATGACGATGACGATGCGGATGTCGGTAACGTCACCGGCATCCACATCGTCATCGTCATCATCACTGATGACGTCACCGGCATCCACATCGTCATCGTCATCATCACTGATGACGTCACCGGCATCCACATCGTCATCGTCATCATCACTGATGACGTCACCGGCATCCACATCGTCATCGTCATCATCACTGATGACGTCACCGGCATCTGCATCGTCATCGTCATCATCACTGATGATGACGTCATCAGCGATGATGACGATGACGATGTGGATGCCGGTGACGTCATCGGTGTCGATGACGTCATCGGGGGGTCACGCGACATCGGCGGGGGTCACGTGACCTCGAGGAGGGGGTCACGTGACCTCAGGGGAGTCACATGACCCCGGGGGGTCACGTGACCTCAGGGGAGTCACATGACCCCGGGGGGTCACGTGACCTCGGGGAGGTCACGTGCCCCCCCACGAAGTCACGTGACCCCGGGGGGGGGGGCTCGCGCGGTGCATATGGGACATTTCCCATGATGCACCGCGCGGTTACGCCGACGCCGACGCCGACGGCGACGGCGACGCCAACGGCGACGGCGACGCCGACGCCGCTCAAGCCGGAAACGGGCCCCTAAGAGCTGCGCTCTAAAACGTTCCGCTTCAAAAGAAACACAGTGTATATCGAGAATAACTTATAAAATACGCACCGTGAGTGATTGTGGCCTTTTCGGACGTCAGTTCGGAATTTCAAAGAAAAAGTGAAAGCCGTTTACAAATCCCTGCAACGCCGAATTGGAGCGCAGCTCTTGAGGAGGAGGAGTGAAGGGTACTGAGGGGAGGGTAGACCCCTCCTCCTTCTCCTCCTCCTCCCCTCATTCTTTAATATGCTCCGGGGGGGTCACGTGACCTCGGGGGGGTGTCACGTGACTTCGGGGAGGGGGGTCACGTGACCTCGGGGAGGCGTGACCTGGGGGTCACGTGACCTTGTGTGTCACATGGGGGTCACCTCAAGGTCACGTGGCCCCCAAGGTGACCCCCACGTGACCTCAGGGGGTCACGTGACCTGGGGGTTACGTGGGGGTCACCTTGGGGTCACGTGACCTTGATATGACCTTGGGAGGGGTCACGTGACCTTGGGGGTCACGTGACCTTAGGGAGCAGACCACGTGACCTCCGGGGTCACGTGACCTTCACAAGGTCACGTGGGGTCATCTTGGGGTCACGTGACCTTGAGATTACCTTGGGAGGGGTCACGTGACCTCGAGGGGTCACGTGACCTTCAGGGGGTCACGTGACCTTCAGGGGGTCACGTGACCTTGGGATGACCTTGGTTACGCCGATGCCGACGCCGACGCCGACGGCGTCGCTCAAGCCGGGAACGGGCCCCTAAGAGCTGCGCTCTAAAAGTATTACTTTGTGTGGATTATGTAATGGTCTTTTTCTTCAATATTTAAAAAAACGTGATTAAATAAAACCGCAGTAAACACGAACCTGTTCACTGAGGTTGTATTTCATTATATCTAACTGTGGCCAACTGGCCCAATTTGCAATCCTCCTTAAAACACAAATTGATTTTTCCCTTAAATTACTGCTTGTAGAAGTGCTATATTTTCAGCTCTTTAGAGTGCTGTTAAAGTAAGAATAATAGTTTTTAGTCACGTATTGAACTTGTTATATACATAAGAAATATCTTGCAAACATAAAAACAGTCGTTAATTGGTTAAATGTTTGAAATAGCTACTGTATATAAAGGGTTATTTTCTTTTTTTTTGGATTTACGGGTTAGTTTTAAGAAAACCGTGAAAACTAAACTAATGCGGGCTGTGAAGGTGGGTTATACGGCCAGTGGAAAATATCGTAGAGTGCTGATCTTCACGGTAAATCAAATATTCAACTGTAATTTGTTAATTAACTGTTTAATTAGTGAAAGTAAACATATGGTTTGAAATAGAAACTAGCTGACCGTCATCGAAAACTACTAAAAGTTTCTTGGGAATATCTTGCGGCGCGTGGGACGCGCAGTGGTGCGCTAAACTGCAACAGGTGCAATGCTAGCGGCACAAAAATGCGGATAAAAGACAAAAACCCTGCCCGGGTGTGTTTTCGAATTACTAGCCTTGCGCCTGTGCCACGAGCATTAGCGCACGAGCGAGCAAATTGGGGCTCATGCGAAGCGCACGATCGCGCTTCGCATGAGCTCCAATTTGGTTTGAAATGTACTTATTTACAAATTTTTGATGGCGCCTAGCAAGTCTCTTGTTTAAACCACATATTTGTCTTCAATATTTAGGGAGTTAATTAATGCATTTTATTTAATTATTCGGCGTATCACGACATCTATTTTGCCATGTTATGTCGACCTTTCTGTTATCTCACCTGCACAGATGGCACTAGTGTAGCTTTCACGGATATTTTTCAAAATCAAATTGTAAAGCCGTAAAAATACATCTTGTATGTATTGTGTACTATCCAATTACAGTGAACAAGTTTGGTTACACTCATGAAAAAAACTTTTTTATTGGCGTCCACACTTCACTACTTTGTTGGAAGTTTATCCTATTGTCCCTTGCCCTCTACTCTGCCCCCTTGACTGAATTACATGTGTCACTTATTTTACCACAAAAATACCAAATGCATTATTACGATTCTCCCCTAAACAAGTTTAGCTTTTTATTACGAAGTGGTGTTAAAAAGCAGGCACGTTTTTGAACGCATTTACGGTACCTATGCCAAGGAATGCTACTTCAAAGTCCAGGACTGCGCATTACGGCAATTTAAGTTGATCACCAACCCACTCTGGTGATATGTCGCGTACTATCGTACGCGAGACGCTTCCGTCGCATATTCATGTCGGCAAAAGCGTGCATGCTGCTTTTCCGTACGAGAGTGTGCTGCAAAATCCGCAGATGAGTGTATCTCGGCGTCGCCTTGGGTCAGCATTGTCCTCGACGTGTAGGACGCTGCCAGAGCGTCAGAGCAATACTACTTGAGAGACAAGCACTGCGTACGATGTCATTGTTGGTGCATCCCCGACCCGCCTAAGCGGCAAACAAGCTATATACCTTCGGCGAGGATGCACGCCTCAAAGGGGCAGGCGCGTGCGGGATGTGTCGACGTGTGCTAGCTTTATGCTGACTGTTAGACGCTACAAGACGTACTAGGAGCGATTCTGACGCAAAGTATAGGCGGCGGCGCGTGCATCTACTTCCGGTTATACTTTTGGCATGAGATAGGAGCAGGCTCATGCCTTCTAGGTATAGTACACTGTAAAAAAATTTGCCCTCTTTTACGGAGAAATTCTCTGGCACCTATGCTGCCGGAAAGGTCATCCGTAATCCTAATAACGGAAAAATCCTTTTAAACGCATACACAATCCGCAAATTAAAGGACGTTCCGCAAAACAGATTACGGAAAGTGCTTTACTATCCGTAACGCTATTCAAGAGCTGTCCGTAAAACAACGGACTGGAATATGCATTCCGTAAAACCTATTACGGAAATCGCTCTAATATCCGTAAAAGTGTTTAAAAGTTGTCCGTAAAAGGGCACTCAGAGTAGGCTTTCCGTAAATTATATTACGGAAAGCACTCTTGAGTATCCGTAATCCTATGCGGAGCGTAAGTTTGTCTGCTTTTTTTACACAGGGGTTGCAGTGATGTCAGAAGGCCGAGCTCTTATTGACCGATCGAACAAAAAAAAATAGTGGGTAGACCTCATGCTGTCTAGCATTGTGGTCTACCCACTATATCTTCCGCTCAAAGCCAATGAGAGCTCGTCACCTTTCTGACGTCACCGTAATGTCTACGCAAGAAACAGACGACTTGCTCTCCACATAGGGCGGTGTCAATTGAAAGGTGGGCTGTAAAATGAGCTGGATGAATCAATGCCTTCATTTAGCAAACTGAACTTATTATCAACGGTTTTCTTTTTGTGACACAGATTCCCATAAAAACTTTTAAGGTGCAACTCCATTCTGTGAAAAATAGAACTATATAATTAAAATTTTTGACAATGGGCACCGATGTATACAACTGAGTCGTGTTGAGTGCTCTTGTCGGAGAAGTGCCACCACCTGTTGTGGAAAGCAGGCAATACAGCTGAGCAATGCATCTGCAGCAAGTTTCCTCAATGTCAGTTGTGTTTTCTTCTGCAAGTTCTGGCATTCAGATCAACATGCAGAATTATAGAAGGCAGTGGGATTACAAAACATTATCTGCAGTCTGATCGGCCACTGCGATCATTGCAATTTCAAACAGCGATATAAAGCACCTTCTCAACAACACCAAACGTCACTCTGTCATCTGCGTCGGCACTCATGCTTGAAAATATAGAGAATGCTGTTTTCACATTCCACAGAGACGGAGCTGTGCCTTGACATGTCACAATAGTGTTCACTGCTAAAATAGACCTTTGGTAAGAATATGAGCTCAATGCTTGTAGGAGCAAATTTCTCCAGTTCGTTTTACAGCCAGTCCCTTAGTGATACTGCTCTATACATAGAGTAATGTTCATTATGACGCTGAGACCAACAGGTTTTCTATAAAAGAAAAAGGTTATAGAATTTTGAATTGGAAAAGGATCTCTTTAAAAGAATATTGAGTATTCTTTCCTATGCTGCTTGCAACAATCATGCAATGTCACCTGAATAATTGATCAGAAAATAAGAAAAGTACCTTCAAACACTTTATTTCGGTCCTTGAGAAGCCAAAGTGGAGCCCCGCGGTGTTTTGCCTTTGTTTTCAGATGCTGCATGTAACGTGATGTGCTAAAGAAGAGAAAACAAAGAAAAAATAATTAAATATCTGTATCAAGTCAACATGTGCAAATTGAGCTTTGTGCATAAGACACAGCCCCCCTCAGCCCATTTAATTATTAGTCATGCATCTTATACAAAAGTCAAATGGACATAGCCCCTAATTGTTCATCCTGTGATCCGATATCTAAAACTTATGTTTGACTTGAGGGTCTTGTTCTCCTGTTCCTTAGTCAAAACCGATACACTTCATTCAAGCTTAGATTCGTTCGAAACTGTGAAAAAATGCAATGCCGGAATTACAATAGTGATTTGCTTTATAATGTGAAACATTTCTTGAGAACTGATGAACCAACCGGAAAACTCGATCCAGTTTGAGTAATGCTTTATTTCTAAGGTTCATGAGATGTTGCAGAAGAGTCTATGTAAAACTGGCTAAGCTCATATCCTAGACTTTTCTAAGTTTGGGCAGCCACTTAAAATCTCCTATTAGAATGAAGGGCTACTTGCACTCTTTCGCGTCGTCGAATCAGGTGGTCAGCCTCGAGTGCTTAGAGAGCACGAGCATTAAAAACTTTATTTTCTCTTTAGAAAGTTTTCACAGAACTGAGGGGGTGAGAGAGTGCATTTGTATTAAAACTGCTATCAAAAACTGGGGACTAAGCAGTAGCTTCCTCCCCAGTCCCTAATCCAGGGGTGGAACTCATGAAATGTACTTGGGAGTAGCCACGGGAGCAGCTGAAACAGCTGTTTTGGAGCAGGTTGGGGCAGCTAAAACTATGCTCTGGAGCAGGCTAGGAGCAGCTCAGATCAGTTTTTATTGCCCTTCAGCTTGTGTCTTAGACAAGCACGGGAGCAATATCAATCGTGCTTAGCAGCACAGATGAACATGAGTGGTTAGGGACCTAGGTAGATGGGATAACAGCATAACAGATGCAAAAACTTGAAACTTTGTGAGCCTTACCGCTCATTCACACTGGAAGCGGATCCGCGTTCGCAAAGCGGCTGCGAACGCGCTTGTATAAAGATCCAGTACAATTGCATGCGCACTTGATGTCATCGAGTGCATGTGCAATTGTACTGGATCTTTATACAACCGCGTTCGCAACCGCTTTGCGAATGCGGATCCGCTTCCAGTGTGAATGAGCGGTGAATGAGAATCAAAAAGCAAGTACCCCATGTTTCTGAAGATAGTGTCCTTGACATTTTCTGAGTGGATTTCAGTTGCTCAAAATGCAAACCAGCACTGCTTATCGCACAACCCACACGTGCTCGACATAGTAATTATATGTGCGAACCACGTGACGTGCGTAAGCAACGGACATGGAGTTGCATGGAGGAATAGGGAAACAAATTTCGACTTTAACCTATTGTGCAACTCGATATCGAAGCAGCAGACTACGATTAACGAAGTTATCGTATTTGAAGCGATAAGCAGGAGCAAGGTTAATGTATGCCGAGCAGATTTACCACTCGCGTAAGAGCTGCTGGCCGGCAAGGTTTCGGATCGGACAGTGTTTCAGTTCTATCAAATCACAATTTATCTTGCGGGAATGCAGTTCCAACTTCTAACGATGAAGTACTAAAAGGAATATTTTGCTCATTTGTTTTCAACTGGCTGACGTCTGGATCCCGGGCCGCAGAGCCCCAGGCAATCTGACGCTTAACGGCTCGACCTCAGCTCAGCCGACTTGCTTAACCGCTTATGGTTAAAGAATAACAATCCAGTCGCAGGAGGTGGTGTAGAGCTTAGAATCCCGAGTTTTTTCGCGCGCTTCCTACTCGGGATACACAGGGAGAATAAACAGAACAAAGGATTACAAGGCCGGTCAGGCTAAACGCGCTCATTGTGGCCAATCAAGTCAATAAAACCGAAACCAAGACAAAATAAAAAAGCTTTTGGCGCACGTTTTGCCATTTGGCGCATAATGGCACGAGGTATAACTGCGGCGCAGGATGGCGCAGACACATGCGTCTGGCGCAAAATGGTGCAGCCGTTCCACCCCTGCCAATCTCACAATTTGGGAGCTCCATCCTATCCACGTTTGAGCACACCTGTGCACACGCTTTTGAGTCTAGCGAGTTAAAAATTAACAGAGTATTTTTATATGGCATGCATGTTTGTTTGCAAGCTCCACACTTTGTACACCTGATTACCCCCCAAATGTGATCTAGCCATTTTTTTTACCCAAGTGCCTACCACTCAAGGAGCTCACTTGGCCACTTCGTCAGCGCATTCTGACTGCGCATTTTTTTTTGTTGCCCGTTGAAAGGGAGATTCTTCCTTATAATTTTCTTTAAGAGATTGTTCTGATGTGTGCAAACGATGCATTTTGGTGTACCTGCATGCCATATAGGTACTTCAATTCAGAAGTTGGTTTTGGAGCTGGCAAAGGCATAGGGTCAGATGCACGATTTTAAAAAGCGTTCTCTCTGCATGAGTGCTCATACAAACCAAGCTGTCCTCAAGTGCCTGTGCCGTTGCCTGTGCTAGAGTCAAATCGGTCACACGAACCATCCAACACACCAACTGACCAATAAAAAGTGATAAAAGGTTCACCCACAAATGCATTTAAATTGAAAACAGGACAAGCTGAAACAAGCAACCCATTAAAAAAAAAGTACCATGAAACTTTCATTACATCAGTTATTTTATATCTACTAGAAATAAATATGTGAAGCCAACCGCTTAAAATTAAGTTACAGAGACTATAATCGGGTCTGCACAGATAAAGAGGAAAAAGCCAATATTGTGGAAGGCCTTCTTAATAAATGTGGCCTTTGATCTAGTGAAGCTGTACATTTTAGGATAAAAATAAATGTTAGACGCAGATTTTTCTTCATAAATTGTAGACAAATAGACATCCGACTGCGACTGTGGAGGGGAGGGGGACAGAGGCAGCAGCTGCAGCTTTCTTCTCCTAGCACCTCAACCAAGTCGCATTAATTTGGATTGTGGGGACCTGTACCTGCATGTCGTGGCACAGAAATCTGGCGAGCACTGTGGATTTCCAAGCCAAAACATGCAGGCCACAAGACATTTTTCAAGGAATTGGGTGGCTAGCAGGACTAGTTGGCAGCGAAGCCACTGCCACCCACCGTGGGAAAAACCCTGGTTAGATGTGACCAATATTGTCCAAACAGTTTTCAGAAGGGTGCTGTCAGTCACATCAGGTTTGCTTTTATCTCAGACAAGCTAGATTTTAAAAACTGAAGTATTTACTTGCCAGCAAAAAACATGTGCAGCCAACTCCACAAACTGACTTTTTCAAAGTTCTCAATCGTCAAAAACTGCTCCACGTTGTACAGTTTCAAATGTAGTTCCTGAAAAAAAAAGACAAACACGAATGACAATCTATACAAATGAGAGTTGCTTAAATTGTAGCTGGCTATAAGTATGCAAGGTAATCTCGCAGTGCAATGGCCACAGGAGACTGCCAGAAATCAGCGGACCTGTGCTCTGAGAAATTCCTACAAACAAGACTAAAGAACCATGCAGTTCCCTTTAGTTAAAGGTTACATTATAATGTGTTAGAATATACAAGAAAGCAGATTTAAAATCTTCTTGCAGAAGACCTTTCTTCTTGCAGCAAGACCTTGTATGCATCCACATAAACTAAGCGAAAAATATGCATTTAGAGGGCCCTTGCAATATTTGTCGCCTTGGTCAAGATACTTTATATACAAAAACTACCTAATTAAGCTAGTTAAGAAAAAGGTAACCCATAACAGTTATTCTTAAGAGGTAATTCTATTATTTTACCCGACTTTTTTATTAAAGAAATAAACAAGGAAAAGTAGGAACCGTCTATGCTCAGGTTTATTGCACAAAGTGCCTGTATCCGTGTTATTACATCTTACGTTAAAGCAGCGGTTGCTTTTGTAAATTTTCATCCAAAATCTTTACTTTACTGAAGGCAAGCGCATCTATTTCCATCGCTGAACAAGCTTTCAACTGGCACACTCGGTGGAATGGCTTGCACACACAAGGATTTGTTCCTGGTTAAGACCTTAACGATACACAAAGCCATTGCCGCTGAGGTTATCTTTCTCCACCACTGCGCCTCACAGTACGCACAACTTTTGGAGGGAGTTGAAAAAAACAATTCTCCTCGTTTATCTGTTGTCAGTGTTTTCTCTGTAATCATAATCCAAAATGCGTAATCTTTTTGGTCGTTGTCTATCCATGACAATCTAGATATAAGGTATGCATCAGATTATGCTCCTCAATGTAACTGTAATTAGAAAGATTAGAAAATTAACTACAAAAGAACATTGCTACTTTTTTTTTATCCAGAAAAGAATAATGTGATACAGAAGTTACTTCCAACAAACTTAGCGAGAAGTTACAGAAGTCACTTCCCACAAACAAGAAAACAATTGTTACATTAATATGTTAATTGCAACGTGTCACTACTTAATACTACCTGCGAATCAAACGTGGCAAATCATCGGCTACAAAAAGCCAGCAGCAGGTGACCTAGTAGGCTTGAATTTAGCTATAGTAACTAGATTCAAATGAATTTAGCATATTAGGTTTGAATGTAGCTATAGTGCATAGTAACACCAGTTGGGGCCAAAACAATGTTACATGTAATGGACACTACTACATAACTTGTCGGAAAAGTGACACGAGCTAGATCAGCGTTGTCTCCCTCTCAGAGTCCTGTTCGATCTGCAATAACTCAGACCTTTTACTTACCATGAAAATACACCAGCGAAGTTGACTCCGTAACTCGAGTTGTTCAAATGGTTAAATCATCAAACGTTGTTCGACATTTCGAGATGCTAACCGTATCTTTCTGAAAAACAAGACATACACAAGACTGTCAGAATACCAGTTTAAGCACGCGAGAGTAGCTTAAATCACAGTTGGTACTGGACATGCAAAGTAACCCTGCAGTGCAAGTATGGGGAGGCTGCCAGAGATCAGCCAACTTGTGCCCTGAAAAACCTCTACAAAACAAGAATGAACCATGCTTTTCCATTGCGAAGTTAACTCATAACCTGCTAAAATATGCATTAGAAAAAGGCTTGATACATGCTCCAACTGGGGCTTTAGTGGCACCATGTTAGATGTGGCTGATATTGCTACAACAGTTGTTGAAAAAGTGACATCAGCTACATCAGTGTTGCCTCCCTCTCAGGGACATGCTCAATATGTAAGAAATCAGACTTGTGACTTACCATAAAAAACACAAGCGAGGTTGACTCTGTAACTCGACTTGTTGAAATGGTTAAATCATCAAACATTTATCGACGTTTCGAGCTGCTACCTATTTTTTCTGAAAAACAAGACACACAAGACTGTCAGAATGCTAGTTTAGGCAAGTAAGAGTAGCTTAAATCACAGCTGGCACCAGACATGCAAAGTAACACTGCAGTGCAAGCATGGCTGCAGGAGGCTGCCAGAGATCAGCCAACTTGTGCCCTGAAAAACCCTCTACAAAGCAAAAATGAACTATGTAGTTCCATTTTGAAGTTAACTCATAACCTGCTAAAATATGGAATAGAAAAAAGCTTAATACATACTCAAACTGGGGTTTTAGTGGCACCATGTTAGAAGCGGCTGATATTGCTACAACAGTTGTCGAAAAAGTGACATCAGCTACATCAGCGTTGCCTCCCTCCCAAGGACATGCTCAATCTGTAAAAGCTCAGACTTGTGACTTACTATAGAAAAACAAAAGCAAAGTTGAGTCCGTAATTCAACTTGTTCAAATGGTTAAATCATCAAACATTGCTCGATGTCTTGAGGTGCAAACTGTATTTTCTGAAAAACAAGACACAAGATTGTTTGACTATCAATTCAATCAAGTTAGAGCAGCTTAAATAGCAGTTGGCACTGGACATGATAAGCAGTCAAGCAGTACAAGCATAGCTGCAGGTGGCTGCCAAACCGGCCGACTTGTGCTTTGAAAAACCAGTATAAAACAAAAAGAAAAACCACGCAGCTTCACTTACTTCGAAGCTTAAAAGTTACTATTTAATAATAATACATTTAAATATTGAACGAATAATTACTTTGTGCGAGAGCAAGGGGCAAAAAAGTTGCAAGGAGATAAGCTGCAAAATGGCAGGATGCTGGTTGCTGTAATTAAACAGATGCAGACTCCTGATAACACAGGATATGAATACCATATCATGTCAGCCACATCTGCCTTGACATTGTAGCACTCGCACTGCATGCATGCATCACCGGTTCACAGCAGCGTATCGCAGCAAATCATGCATTTGCTCTGGGGGCTCAAAAATTTTATAAATCAAACATCTTTGTTTACAATTATAGGATGACTTCCAGTTTTAAATGAACGAGTGGAAATAAGTTCTATTTACATACAGTTTCCAGACTTCTGTGTGGGCTTTTGCGAGTCGTTTCAGTTGCTTGTTTAAGATGGTGTGTCCTGGAGCATTCTCAGATTGAAAATTGGTACAACTGCAGAACCGTCATATTCAATGAAAGTATAAACAAAATATGACATCATTCGCTTCGATATTTGGAAGTTTTGAATATTCCCAAAGCCCTTCCTTACACTTCTTAAAAGGTTGGCGTCAGCCACATTAGTGTTATCTTCCTCTTAGAGACACGCTAGACGTGCAGGAATTAAAATTTGCACTTACCATAAAAAAACATACAGATTCAAGGGATTTCTGTGGAGACTCATTTGAAGCCCTTCAGCAGCGCTAAAATCTTGCGATGGGCTGTTGTTCGCTTCACTGCTCCCATTTTCTTCAACCCCTTCTCCAGGTTGATTTGGAAGATTAGTCTAAGAGGATATATTGCATCATCTAACATTAATGCCATGCTTGCTTCATGAATACTCAGCCTGGTGAAGGTAAAGCCATTTTTTTTTCTATTATCAGGTCAGACTATGGTAGTGTTGGATCATGTTAAACCTGAAAGACTGCTGAACAAACACACATTCTATACACTGACACACTGTTTATACACAAGCCCGCGTTTGCCCACACCAGGTGTGGGCACTGCGCATGCGCAGAAACCAAATTAGCGTGAAATGAAGTGTGCGCGCATGCGCAGTGCCATCGACAGCGCTGCCGCAGCTGCAAGACGTCAGTGCTGCGTGCTGGTCTATACAAGATAACCATGTTTCCCAGCCTTGAAAGTTACAGCCTAATGACAACCAGTGTTCACATGTTATCAATTCATTATAGAAATGCATCAGCGTAATTCTTTGTGAAATTAATACAGATCAAATGTTGGTGCGAGTTGTGAAAAAGGGCATTGAGGCACGATAAATGAAAGGGTGATATAGATTATGTCATTCTATGACATATCCTGTGGACTTGACACATTTTAAGGTTCTCTCCTCGTTGAATAAACTCGAGACTGGCCAAAGCTTCGTTTAGATAGGTAAATTCAACACGCAAAAAGCTCCAGACAAGACGCATACCACCCTCAAGAATGGCATAGGCTCTTTAAACATTGGCTGACGCTCGGTGACAAGGAAGCGTGCAATTGTTGTTGATGACGCCTCCTGAAAAAATTATGAGCTTGCATCTCAGACGATTTGAATCTGCAGGAACGGTGGCTAAGCTCTTTACAAACAGTCTGACTGCAGAGCCAAGATTAATGCATACAATTTTACAGTCCGTGGAACAGTGGTATCACGTGCCCTCCTGAGTGGCGCCATGCAAGTAATGAGTGGACGTATATTGCTTTAATATACACATAGAATATTATGAGCATAAAAATTAATATCAATACGATGGTCTTAGACCATGTGGTTGGGGGGAATCAGCGTACGGTGACACAGGTGCATTCTGTGAAATGAAAAATTCATCAGCTGCATTGTGATTGCTAACTAGTGAACGCGCATCACGCAGTGGTGATACACCGGTAGGAATCAGTTCATCGAACGACGTTTCCTCGACAGATCGTTTCATCAACAACTCAATTTTTTTTTTTTTTTTTTTTTTTTTTTTTTAGGGTGGGGGGGGGGGGGGGGGGTTAATAACCTGCACGAGACTGTCGCCGCGAAGCGACCTGTACGGGTCGGTTAGGTGGGTTAACATTTTTGTAATGTGCAGCCGCAGGCTGTCACCGCGAAGTGGTGTGAACGCAGGCGGGAGTGTGGGTTAACACGCACTTCACCGATACACGCGTGGCGAAACGACCCTGCAGCGTGAAATTCGCGTAACGAGTGCCGATGAAACGTTCGTGTCGACGAAACGTGTCCATGAAAAGTTGTCCACGAAACGTACTTCCGCGAAACGAATTTCGACGAAACAATAGGGACCCCCCGGCGAAAAGAGCAGGCTACAGGCCGCGCGAACAACGTTGCGAAACTCGTAAAGCACACTCACGCACTCAGACAATGCGTTGTCATGTGCTTTACTGCAACACTCCTGCCAGCCAGCACGCGCGAACAGCCTCCCAATCGCTACGAACGACGAACCGCGCGTACCAGCGAGCTCGCGACATGACACAAGGTTCAAACGAGTACCGGACATGAGCTTTCAATTCTGAGAAGAACGTCAAACACGAACTGAGATAGCGGCGACCGTCATTGAACCCGAAAGTTTAAAGCGACGCAAATCCGTGATTTCGTTCCTTTCGAGGAAATAAGTGTCGAAAATACGAACGCATATATGACAGTCCCCAATCAATGTTAATAGAAAGAGCAGAACAAACTCACCGTTTTGATAACAACAAGGTAGTTTAACGTAGAACAGTCGCAACCGCAAAAATCACCAAGCGCCTTTACCCCTCGACAAAACAAGCGCGGTAGCAAAACAAGGAAAACAAGCGAGCGGAGATGGGTAGATGAAGAGATAGCGGTAGTGTGATTGTACTAGACAAAAATATCACCTCAAGCCTTTTCGACTAAGCGGTAACTAGCGCCACCTCGTTTCGGAACCTTTATTATAAGTTGTTTAACAGTGCAATAAATGATATTTTAAAGAGTGAGAACCGTTGTCTATTAGTCTAAACCAAATAAGACAATTTTCAGCTTGTTGCAAACAACTTTTGTTGTTGTTTACAAAATCGTAACTTTAGATTTACGGACAAGTCAACCGTATTTCAGATTACGGATGCTTCTCCGTAGCTTTTAATGAGAAGTTCTACGTTTTTTTACGGAACGTTTTTACCGTGTAACGGTCAGACCTACGCCTCTGGAGACGCGTTCACGCGCTACGCACTAAGAGAGATGAAGCATCTGCGTTCCCGTAAAGCACTTCAGACAGCCTATCGATGCAATCTACGGAGGCAGCTAGGTGACTGAAGACGAAGATGATATGTCATAGACATAAAAGCAAAAACACTGTGCGCTGTGACACAACGCATGATCCTCGGTGTCCAAGTGGAGGCTTTCGCTGAAGGGAAGCCGTCGCCATTTGTTCATTGAGGCTTTTATAGTTTCGTTAAAAATGTCAATACCGATTTCTAGCCATCCGCCTCTGACTTAAATAATTTCCCTTCTTTATTTCTTTGCAAATACGTGCCTTTCAAAACGACAGTGCAATCTTGTTTTAATCAAATTTCGTTATTGATTCCCTATTGAAAATTCCATCAAGCTACGTAATTTGGGACACTAACTGCCAGTCAGCAGCCTTGGTGGAACGTGATGGACCATCAGACGTCATCTGATGGTCCATCAGATGACGTCTGACTGCCACTGCCAAGGGAATTTCATCAACAAGGGCAGCATTTATATAAGAGTAAAGCTATACGCACTCATAAATATCGCCAAATGCCTCGATAAAACAAAATGTTCGAGAAAAAAAAAATGTAGCACCACCGCGGATCGAACCCGCGACCGCTTGCGTACATATCAGACATTATAACCGCTATGCTACGCCACCGCCATAGAAACTCGATTTAACTATCCGTTTTATACGAGATGCTTCGGCTGGAAATGCAGTTAAGCCGTCAGCATGTTATGCAAAGGACTCGTACATCACTCGCCATACTTCTGTTCTACTCACGTGCCATGTAGAGTACTTTCGCGTCGTAGAACGATCCTGTTGTTCGCGCGTCATCGGCCCAGTAGACCTGGTACACGTTGTCGTCTTCAACTACACCGCTAAAATCCCTTACATCGTCGGAACTCACAACAGGCTGGGTGTTGTCGAGTAGAAATTCTACTTAAACGTAAGAGATTGTAGAGTCCGGGCAGGATCGACAGGTTGGAGCAAGCGGGCAGACAAAACGATCGAGAGCGATCGTTCATGAAAGCTCGGCGAAGATATGGGCGAAGCGAAGTGCGAAGTGTCGTGTTCGGCGCTTCGGCGGGCCACTTCTGATCAAGGTTGTCGGTCGGTTGCGTGTCATATCTCTAATGTCAGCGGTTTTATGGGCTCACGTCCCGAAATCGTTTTCTCGTGCATAGATTACTTTTCGTATTCATAGATTTGACGAAATAGTGGTATCCGAACGAACTTTACGTCCTTTGACCGTACGTCTGTCTGCACGTCAAAGCTTTCTGACGTACATTCAGAGACAATCGATGTACAGTCAAAATCACCACAAGGACATCCTGATGGCATTTCGCGGCGGCCGACTGCCACCAGGAATCCATCAGAAAGCCGACAAGCGGGGTCTGACTGGAGATTGACTGTCGGTCAGAGTAACTTGTTGACCAATCAGACATGCTTGACGTACAGTCAGGCACAGTCAGCGGTCCACTAGAAAACATTGACTGCCAAACAGCGTTACATTGATGGATTTTTCCTTCGGGTTGTGATTAATGTAACTTCTCGATTTAGCAACGTCGATGGCATTTTGAATCCTTGACTTTATAGGTCAACCAACCTCGCGAACCGCTTAAGCACGAAATATGTAGGTCGGTCAGCCCGCAACCGCTAAATGAGCTCAAACAAAAATACGGCAACCGGCGCCAGGGATTGAACCCCGGTCACTGTCGTGGAAGTCGAGTGCGCTGCTGACTGAGCTACGAACCCAGCATGCAGGAACTGGGGGAGCAGAAGCAGGTGGTGTGAGAAACCGCGCGGAGCGGAGAGCGGTGGAGAGGGCAACAAAAAGAAGAGCAGAAACAAGTGGTGTAGAATGAACGCAAGGAACGAGGAGGAGTGGGAATGGCAGGAAAGCGCGCTTCTCCTTTCTTGGTAATCCCGAAAGTTCCGCGCAAAGGCTTGATATCCGGGTGGTGCTCAAAGGAAACCCGCGCAGCTTCACGAAGAGGCAGTGGCGTGACGTTATCTGTTTCCATACAAAACCCAGCTTTATGCACCACCTGAGCTAAACGACCCACCCACCCCAGGCACTGAAACGCAATGCGTCGTCCTGCTTCAGGCACCACCCACCCAGTAAAGCTGCCACATCTACCACATTTAAACGCGTTTGGCAGAATGACAAAACATGCAGCCAACCTTTTTTCCAGATATTTTGTCATACATTTAAAATGAATTATTTAATAATTACTATACAAAACAAACAATATATATATATATATATATATATACAGGGTGTTTTCTTTAAGCTTAACAGATTTGTTTAAAGAAAGCCTTGAAAGTTACACTTAGGCCGCTTGTGGAGGTGAGTTGTATGGCCAGGAGGACATATTATACGAAGCTAATAGTAACAATCAGTCGGCTAATTAATTAAAATTAGTTAATTAACTTTTAATTAATGGAAATAGATATGTGGTTCCAATTAGAGACTTGCTCAGCGTCATTGAAAATCACTAAATCAGTCATTTTCAGAAAGACTTTGAGCGCGTGAAAAGCGTAGTAGTGCACTAAAGTTACCACTCGTGGAGCAGGTACAAAACTAGCGGTTGCGCTAAGGCGCCCGCGCAATTTTTCCGTCTCTTTCTAGCCCCAGCCTTGTATCTGCTCCACGAGAGGTAACTTTAGTGCGCTACTACGCTTCTCATGCGCTCAAAGTCTTTCTGAAAATTACTGATTTAGTGGTTTTCTATGACGCTCAGCAAGTTTCTAATTGGAACCATATGTCTATTTTTAATAATTAAAAAGTTAATTAACGAAGTTTAATTAATTAGTCGACTGATCGTTACGATTAGCCTCATATAATATGTCCCCCTGGCCGTATAACTCACCTCCACAAGCGGCATAATTGTACCTTTCACGGCTTTTTTGAAACAAATCTGTTAAGCTTAAAAAAATACCTTGTATATATATATATATATATATATATATATATATATATATATATATATACTATAAAAACGGGATATGTATATAAAGGCACAACATATAAGGTATTTTATCTGGTCAAGTTTCTTTTTTATAGCAAAAAACGGCGAGCAGAACACCTATCGATGATATCCCACTCCTCTCGCTCAAACTTGATATTAACACAAAAAAAATAAAAAATTCGGCATAGACGTTTTTGGAAAGTGATTTTTTGCAATGTGCACCATTCAGAGTGCCAAAATCAAAGTCAAAGTCAAAATGTGTTCTAACTTTCAAGGAAGTTTTAAATTTGTAAGGCAGGGTTCTCAAAGCTTTCAATGAAAATTCTTGAAGCTCGCTATCAGGCTCCTAACGTATAAACGGGGATGAGAGAAAACGTATGTAGTATATAGCTGAAATCTATGAGCAACTTAAACCTTTTCAACATTACGTGAGAGATAATATAACTTTTTTTTTAACCTAAAGCGACATATTTCATGTTTCCGTTTTTTTTTTTTATTGATACTACTGCCAGAAGTTGGGAGTGATTCCAGTGGAAGAAGTTTAAATCTTCCTAACTCCGAAGGTTTCAGAGTTTTGTCATTCTTGCGTATCCTAAAGGGGCCCTGCAATCATATTTGAGCGTCTACCTTTTTCGCGGTTTTCACGTCTCTTGGGGTTCGGGCAAGCCAGCGGGCACGGAGAGAGTAACTAAATATCAGTGCGCCATATTTTAACCGGACGACGCGGAAACCTCGTCCACCGACGAGGGCGACCCGCGGTACCGAAAACGCGCAAAATGTGACGTCTTTGGTCCTGGGCTTACTACTGGTCAGAGCCGCTAAAAGCTTCTTTTTAGTCGAAATACAAAATATAAGTGGTGCGAACCGTTTCAATTATTTATGAAAGTAGTTTTTGTTTGGTATTTTAGCGCAGAAAAGAAACAAATGCAGTTGATAAAGTACGGAAAAAAGAAATGACCCGTCGACATACCAGCCACCAAGCGGCGAAAAAAGCGGCGCATACTAGAAAGGAGTAGTGAGATCAGGCGCCGACACAGGAAGGTCACGGATGTACGCGGCGGCGCTGTGGTCGTTTACGAACTTGAGGATCCGACTGGCTCCGAGCGTTCCGAAGGCCTTCGGCGAGAAGCTTTGTCTTGCGGTTCGGCCGTTTCGCGGTATGGCAGGGCAAAGTAGCTCCCATTCTGAACTGATCGTTACCCCGGGTTTGCTGTCGTTTGTGGCCAATGAAGTGTCATGCCGAATTAGTATTTGATCGTGCAGCAAATGCAATGAGAGCCGCTCTGGCTGATCGCTGCATACAGCCTATCCAGAACACGCTTCAGTGGCGCCCTCTCGCGCCGTCGACACGAGTGCGGCAGCCGTGAGCGCTCGATGAGCTCACTACTTCTCCTCGGGTTCACGGCCACTCTCAAGCAACCAAGGACGTCATGAGGGGGGTTATTTCTTGCTTGTTTTTGTAATTTTAATTTGCCTATAACTTTTAAAATAAAGCGAATTTTGAGAAAAGAAAAGTTTCACTAAGTTACTACGTTCAGTGCGCTCAGGTTTGGTGCAAATTAAAAATTAGTAAAAAAGACATTGCAGGGCCCCTTTAAAGAGGCCACGAAATAAATTTTTTGATGGGATAAACAATTTTAGATTGCAATTTACTAACCGCATATCTTT